CTACGGTGTGTGACACCGGTCGGGGCTCTCCAACCTATTCCCGTTCACCGTCATTGGTCCGCTCCAATATTTTTCACCTAATAATCATTTGTCTTGTGCGTTCTTCTCTCCTAACAGTTCCCCTTCTCGAACATCAATAAGATCAAGACAAAACTGAAGCAGGTGGCATCAACTAACGTTGAAGAGGTCAAAAAGTTCTTTACAAAATATGATTATAAACAATCTGGCAAAGTGCCGTTTGAATTGTTTAGGTGAGGTACACAGTTTCGATCACACTCATTCGTGCATGCCCGTGCAAGCTGTCGTCATGTCTGTCATATTACAAAATAAATCAGAATTCAAAACATAAATGGATATTACAGGCAATAATATATATGTAATGTTTAATTTATATTTATATTTATATTTCATTACAATAGACCGTCGGATTTTATGTAAAACAGTCGCTACGACATACTGTAGACACTTTGGCAACTCTTCTGGCTAGCGAGGGCGCTAGCACAACCGGTGTATGATATCCGTGCGCTGCGTTTATTTCAGGCGCATACATGAAGAAGGCAAAACCTGCACATACAAATAATGTATTTTACACGCGTTGTAAACGTCGTATGGGACCCATATCGAACACGGCGCACTGCCAGTGTGACGACTTAATGTTAATTGCTTTAAAATTAATGGCAGAATTCTATTTCATTAAACAGGAGCTTACTAATCAAAGTTTCCGGCGACGAACTAACGGAACATGAGATTTTAACCGTGGCCCGGCATCATCGCATTCAAGAGAAGGTGGAAGTCAGTCTAGAAGCGATACAGTCAGAGGCTCATGACTTATTACGAAAGAACAACTTTGATGGCTTCAGAAAATTAGAAACACTTTGTTATCACCGAGACGTAGATCGGAAGGGTTGGCTGTATCCCGAGCAGGTTCGAAGTGTATGCCATTCGTTGAAGATGCCCCTCACAGACGATACTTTAAATGAACTATGGGCAAGGTAAATTTACCGTTTATAGACAGTAGATAACGCCCCCAGCGACGGTAAGATTCTGTGACGTACATACTAGCAATTGCCTGCCTGAGTCGGATAAATGGGTGCATGAGACACCGTGGTTTGATTTGTAGATGTCTGTGTTATATTACAAATGACGAACGATTTCATAATCGAACAGGGCTGCCTATTACAACGACATTACTTACAGCCTTCTTGTAATTTCTACATCACAGAATGGTGCCGTCGCTAGAGGGCGCCTTCCATTGGAAAAATAATTGCGCCCCCGTAACTCCATTGTTTGGCCGATACTGTTAGCATTTGCCTTTCTAGATGTTTATTATATTTTGCCTCAAGTTCCTGGTTACTAGTATATTTCAGATACTTTACTACAATTTTTTGAGAGATATTAAAGGCATGAGTTCAGAGATGGTGGCATAATATACTAGTACATTGTACATCTATTTGGGAGGGTTCAAAGTTCAAAAGTTAACTCAATAATTTCATTTTTTACAGGTTGCAGAAAGATCAGTTCGGGGATTAATTACTACGATTTCAATAAACTGGTCAACTGGCGCGAGTTTCCTGTACCAGGCCCAACAAAGTTAGAACAGCAGCAGAAGAAACGCCAATTCACCTATGTCGATTACAAGGCCCTGATGCACGAGCTATACGGGCAATGATCAGTTCAATATTCACACGTTTGATGTACTCCGCTGTAACACGACATTCCAAAAATGAAAATAAATAAATAAATAAAAATAAAAACGTTTTAAAAGAAATGGGTAAAATTGGGAAACGAAATTTATGCAGATTGGTGAAGCAAATTGTTGTTATTTTTTCATCCCAGTTACCCACATTTGAAAAAAAAACGTCTACCACTCTAAGAAACAAAGATTACAGAAAATCGCGACAAGATTCAAAATGTAAAGTGACGGTTTTCTTTTAAATCCGTTGTTTAAGATTTTATATGTTGTAAATATTTCGGTTGGAGAATGTCACGTCAAACGATTAAGGAGTTCAATTATAATAACAAAATTTATACATTATCATTTACACATGCAGCATTTTGGATAATTAATACACACATAAACCACTTATATATATTTACTAAAGACACTGTATAGCTTCTACGGCGTTGAATTAATAATATGTAAAAATCTGAAATAGACACTAGTAGTTTTTTATACTTCAAAAAGATGGAAAAATTCATTGACATTTTTGAAAATAAATGTTTTATTCATTT